AGGGAGCCCTTGATAAGTATAGAGAAGACTGAGGTTGAGAGAAAACCTTTGAAATTGAGCTGATTTTTTTTTTTTGGTCTTAGTGGGTGGCAGAGCTGAATTGGGATTTGGGCCAGGAGCCAGGGGATCTGAGCAGGCCTGTACCACTCCCAAAAGGCCAGGAGCCTCCTAACAGGACTTAGGCCTAAACTGCTTTCCCTGAAGAGGTTTCTAGAGGCTTTTCTGGCTGGCTGGTGGAAGGCCAGGGTAGAGTCCAGCTCGGCCTTTCCCTTACTCCAGCCCCGTGTGGGATTTCTGGGCCTCCCAGTCCCCCAGACGGGGGGGGGGAAACGTATCCCTTGGCCCAAGTACCGCTGACCAAGCCAGGGATGTAGGTGGCTAAGAGAGGCTGCTGGCAAGCACCCTGCTTTCCCTTCCCTACACCCCAGATCTGTCAAGAATGGTCTAGGGTGTGCCCAGTGATGGGAGAGGCAGGCCCCCAGAGAAAAGACAAGTGGGAGGGCAGTGGAGTAGGGGAAACATTTATTTGACTTCAAGGAAAGCTACAAACAAATACCAAAAGCGAATCACTGAGACAGGCCCGGCAAAGGCAAAGACAGATTTCACACGTAGCACAGCATCCACTCACTCACTACAAATGGTCTTAGAAGCGAACTGGGGGTGGGGGGTGGGGAGGGGATGGGTCTGACCCAGACTATCCCCATATTTACAAGGTTCGGGCCCTCTACTCCAGACCCATGGACTCACAGAGAAATACACAAGACATTTTACACTGAGGATTATTTTTGTTTCCCTACACTCCCAGGCCAGGCCTTGTGGGGCCTACCCAGGCGGCAGGAACCTTACTCTCAAGGTTTACCTTCCCTCTTCTCCATATCACCCTCTTTGGCCCTCCCTGCCCCCTTCCCACCCCAGGACCAAGCCACTGGGAGACTTGGGCCTGGGGAGTGGGGAGGGCGGAGGAGGAGGGTGGAAAGAGACAGTCATGGACTCCATCGCGGAGGCCAGCTCAGCTGGGCCAGGGCGCTGCTGCGGCACTACCCCACCTCAACTGCTGCCCCTTAGAGAAGTTTCAAGCTGAAACTCAAAATACAGCGACCATCCTTTTATAAATAAGTTAGAAGAACACAGATGGGGAGGGGAAAGTTCACATTAAACATGCGAGTTTCTTTCTTTCCTGGGGGAAGGAGTGCAACCACAGACACGAACATTCAGAAATACTGGCGGATTTGGGGTGAGTGGAGGGGAGTGGGGAGCATGGAGGGAAAATAATAATAATAATTATTATTAACAATAATAACAAGATTAACCAGTCCAGGAGAGAGGGAGCCACAGGAAGACCTAAGACCGAACGAAAAATCGTAACACAAGGCCGGGGCGAGGCAGGCTCGTGGGAACCGGTCCCCAGCGGGCAGTGGCAGCGCAGGGAGGCTTGGAGGGGCCAGGGCTGGGGGCGGCAAGGGCTCTTGGGCCACCCAGGGCTCCTCCCGGCGGGCTCAGGGCTGGAAGGCGCTGCCGGCTGTAGCCAGGCTCATACTTTTCAGTTTGTTGTCTTTCTTCCACTTCATGCGCCGGTTCTGGAACCAGATCTTGATCTGGCGCTCGGACAGGCAGAGCGCGTGGGCGATCTCGATGCGCCGCCGCCGCGTCAGGTAGCGGTTGAAGTGGAACTCCTTCTCCAGCTCTAGGGTCTGGTAGCGGGTGTACGCGGTCCGGGCCCTTTTCCCGTCCGGCCCGGTCATATCTGGAGCAGACAGAGTAGAGCCGCGAGGCAATGTTATTCCGGTTAAGGGAGGGGGGCACTGGATGGGAGAGGGGCGTGGAGCAGGACCCAGGCGTCCCTGGCACCCAGCTCACCGCAGCTCCAATCCTCCCCACTCCAGACGCCCGCATCCGAGCTCGCTTCTGCACCCCCTTCTCCTGCAGCCCCCACTTCTGCCGGCAGTGAATGCGCCCGGCTTTGTCTCTTGCTCCCTCCCTGTGCCTCACCCTTCGCTGGGCTCAGGCGGCCGCTCGCCCCGGGAGGGAGGAGAGCGGCTGCACTTTTGCCCTGGAAAGCTCGTTTTACTGCTCGCCCCTCCTTTGCTAGCAGCAGCCTCAAAATTTCGGGGGTAAGCACGACCCTTCCCCACGTTACATAAACCCCATCCTTCATCCTATAGCTAGTACAGCTGGGCGAATAAAACCTTAGCCGAATCTGGAGACAAATGATTAAAAATACTCCTCCCCAGCTAAAGACCTAGACCTTCTTTGGCTCTATCCCCCGAGCTGTGAGGACCCTCTTAGAGACTTCTCCCCCCCGGAAAAAAAAATAAATCTATATTTGAGGAAAAGCCAAGCTCTCCTCGCCTCCCCCCCACCCCCAACCTCCCCAAACGCAGAGAAGGAAAGCCGGGGGAAGACAAAAACGGGAGCGAAAGCGACAATTACCATGGCTGATGTGAAGCTTCCTCATCCAGGGGAATATCTGCGGAGTCTGCCCCTCGGGCGCGGCTGTGGAGGTGGCCATGGGCTCTGGCTGTGCCCGAGCTAGGCTCGGGCTGCTTAGCTGGCTCGCCGCTTCCTCAGGCTCCGAGGATGCGCTGGCCTCGTCTATTTCGGTGAAATTGGCGCTGGAGCTGGCCGGGGTCGCCTGGTCGGAGGGGGACGAAGCAGAGGGCTTGGCGCTGTGGCTGTCGCCGTTGGTGCAGGGCAGGGACTCGGGCGAGGACAGGGAGCAGCTCGACGCCGCCTGCCTGAAGCGGGGCTCCTGGGCGGGCGCGGGGAAGGCGCGCGAGCTCTCGCCCACCGCCCCAAAGTGGCTGGAGGAGGCCGAGGAGCGGTTGACGCTGAGGTCCATCCCATTGTAATTGTAGCCGTAAGAGCCGGTGTGCATGGCAGCGGGATCCCTGTAAGAGCCGCTCAGAGAGCTGCCACTGCCATAATTTAGCAACTGATAGTCCGGGCCATTTGGATAACGCCCCGAGAAGGAGTTTACAAAGTACGAGCTCATTTGGGTGATTTTGGAGGGCTTGATTTGTGGATCGTGGTCGTTATAACCCTGTGCTTCACGATTTATGATGTATTAATGAATTATAGCGATGCACTGTACTTCGTTTTGCTATGTATGCGGCCAAATATGGGGGGGGGGGTTGGAAGGGGGATGGGGGGGCGTTAGAGAATCACGTGCTTTTGTTGACCAGTCGTAAATTCTCGCTGATGACCTCAAGAGGTAATTCATGCTCTATGGTTACAAATAATGACGATCCGAGAATCGTTAGGGCCGATTCAATGCGAGCCTCCGAGAGAGGGGGAAAAAAGGAGAAGGGGGAGAAACCGGGAGAAGGTTGGCGGCGGCCTCTGAGCAGAGCGCGCCACCTCCCGGCGATCGGCGGGAGCGCGGGCCGCAGACTGCCATGGCGGCGACCGCTGCCTCCCTGCTGGCTCCCTGCAAACGCCGGGCGAGAAAAGAAACCTGGGCCAGGCTCACCCGCAGAGTTGAGTCTTTTAGAGGAGGGACCCAGTTGAGCCTTTACCCACTTTCTTGAAAGTGGTGTTAGACTACTGGTGTCCTTCTCCTTGTCATTATTATTATTATTATTTTCACTCTGGATGAGATGATCAAAAACTGAGTCGCTTTTCCCTTATGTGGGCTTTGCAAGTCTCCGAGTTGGGGAAGGAAATGGTGGGGGGAGGGTTGGAAGATGTGTGAAAAACAATTATTGCAATGCGTTTCCCCCTGAGTTCAGCCCGGCCTGCTTCCTGCCTGGACTGCTGTGGCCCATGCATAGCGTCCAGGCGGAGCTGGCAGGGCTGGGCCGAGGGTTCCACGGAGAAGCTTTCACTTCTGTGCCCTTTAGAAGTTTGGAATCCTCCTCCTGACTTCCTCTTCATCCTTAGCCCAGGCCCGGAAAATGGCAAAGCAGGACAGGGACCCCAGAGGAGGAACAGAGCTGGGGCTAAGCGGCCTAGTTTAGGGGAAGACGGCAGCAGAGTAGGTGCCTGGGGTTTGGGGTTCTGAGAGTCTGGGATGAAGGCAAGACCCTTTCACCAGATGCCCGCTATTGCACTGGGAGGCCCCACTGAAGGCCCCTTGCTGGCATCTGGGTAGTTTCAGAATGTGCTCCGCGGCCCACATCTTCCCTGGAAAGGGGTTCCGAGGACCAGCGGCGCCTTGCTGAGCACGCTGGGCGGCCAAAGACCGCCGCAGCTGGGCTCCTTCTGCCGGATGGCTATTTTCTTTAAAAATAAAAAAGCGAGAGAGAGGGAGGAGGAAGAAAGGAAAACAGTGTCCGCAGATTGCTGCCTGGGTGAGGGTGGGGGTGGGGAGAGAATGGGTCGTTTTTTTTGGTTGAGGGCATGAGACCAAAATGCCCCATCACCTGGCCTCCTGCCCTCAAGTGTCCAAGGAGCAGGGGAAAGTCGTGCCCTCCACCCCGCGCCCGCCGGCGCCTTCAAATTCCCCTACTTGTCGATGAGCTCCTGCTTGAGGCAGGAAGGGGCGCCTGGAGCCTTCAGCTGCGCGCGAAGAGATACCCGGTGGCCCCGATTTTAGTCTCCAGAGGCACGGGCCGGGAGCCGAGGGCCAAGGCCGGAGGAGATCAGGCCATGTGGACAGGCCAAAGGCTACCGGCTTCGCGATCGTGAGGACAGCAAGGCGCTGCTGAGGCGCCAGACCCTCCTGGCTGTCTCTGCAGGGGCTCCGGGCTCGGGGCCTCGGTCGTCCCTCGTGCCACGGACAAACGAGGAAAAGCTAGAGAATGAGAGGGAAACGGCCCTTCTCCGTCCCCCAAGGGTGCACCAGGAGAGGCTGTTTGCAGCCTCAGCACTGGCGAGGCGCGGCGCGGGAGCCTGGGCGGGACCGCTCCAGCCTTTATCTCAACTGTAACTTCCGAGTCGTGTCGGGCCCGCTGGGGCCGACCAGGGCTCCAGCCTTTGCTGCGGAGTTTCCGGCACTGGGAGGATGGGGTGGCCTTGGGGGTGGGGGAGTGGCAGGGGAGGAGCAGAGGTGACCGAGCGGCGAGTTTTAACGTCTTTATTATTATTATCATCATCATTATTAATAATATTAATATTATTACCGAAGTATTTCACGTCCAGAGCTAAGACAAGACTACAAACACAACACATAGAAAATTAATAAAATAGAACTTTGTTTTCTTCTGAGGCTCCTCTTCTTACTTCTAGGTAGTATGTGCTCCTTCCAGTGGCTTTAGGGAGGGGGTGGGAGAGAGGTCTGGGGTCAGGGAGTCTTCGAGGCCCCCCGCTGAGGGGACTGCGAATCTACCATTGAACCGTGCACCGGGGACATGGACGAAATGAGACGCGACACGGACAAGAGCATTTTGCTCTGCTTCCAGGAAACATCAAGCGAGTCCGGTCCTCAGTTCTCACAGGGGAGCCTGATGGGGCTGAAGCGGGTCCCGCAGGGATGGAGGGGGCGCTCAGGGTGCTGGGTGGGCTCAGGCGGCAGGGCCTCCCAGCACCCAATGAGAGCTCTGCGGGCGGGGGCGTCCAGAGAGCGCTGGGCCCCCCCCCCCCGCACGTGTCGTGCGCTAGAGAGCAGGTCCCCCGGGTCCCCCGCCCGCAGAGCCTTCTCGGGGCTCTCCGAGGCCCTCGGCTCCCCACAGGCCGCTCCCTTCGCGTCCCCCCTCCCTTTCCAACGCCTTCACTCCGCTGGTTTTTCTTCCTCCTCCTCGGCACTGAGCTGAGACGCGCTGAGCAGTTTGCTCTCCTTTTTCCACTTCATGCGCCGGTTCTGGAACCAGATCTTGATCTGCCGCTCGGTCAGGCACAGGGCGTGCGCGATCTCGATGCGCCGCCGCCGCGTCAGGTAGCGATTGTAGTGAAACTCTTTCTCCAGCTCCAGCGTCTGGTAGCGCGTGTAGGTCTGGCGGCCGCGTCGGCCGCTGGGCCCAAAGGAGGAACCTGTTACGCAGAGAGAAGATGCTGAGGCCTGGGGTCAGCGGGGCCAGAACCCCCTCCCCCACTCGACCCTCAGACATGGACTCTAGCCTGTCCCGGGATGCCCTCCGCTCTCCGAGAGTTCCCCGCTCCCCCCGCCCCCCTCTTTCACTCCTCCAGCGCCCCCTCCAGATTCCCTCCGGGTCTCCCAGGCCTGTGCCTCTGGTCTAGACTCCAGGTGGGGGATGGGAGGAGGGCTTAAAATCCCACCTGAGCCGAGGGGGAGGGGCTGGGGAAGCACTGGCCAGGTGTGTCTCTTCCTAGCCTCATCTTTTCTTTCCATCTATCTGGCACCCCCACCACCCTGTGATAGATTCCAGCCCTTAATCCGTAATGACGTGGATCGATCCATAGTCGACATTAACGGCTCCTCACTTTCGTGTCCCGCTAATGGACATCAATTTGGGACTTCAGGCCGACAAATAATCCAACCTGAGACCCAGGCGCCTGCTTCTCCCTCTCTCCCCCTCCGCCTGCCTGCGCCTGCTCCCTCTCCCTTTCTTCCCCTTATTCGCCCTCCCTCCTCTGACTACCACCCCTTTCCTGGTGCCTCCTCCTTCCCCAGCCCCGGACCCCCAGGGAAACACAGTCCGGGACAGACTCAACTCTCCCTCGCCAGCGTCACGCCGCCCCCCTTCCTATGACGCACTCCGTTTTTAATGGAACCGTCTTCGGGTGGGGGACCCGACCAGGGCTGGGGGCACGAGGGAAAGCCACGCCAGTGGCTGCGGCCCCTGCCCCCTCCCCTGCCCCGGAATCCGGCTCTGGCGTGGCGCTCTGGGAGAGCCCACTCGCTCCCCCTGGCTCCCAGTGCAGCTGGGACTTTGCAAACTTTGTAACTCCTGAGGGCCAGAGGGCAGAGCGGGAGACCCGGGGCAGGCGCCCAGTCCTCCCTTAGCTCCTAACTGAGATGCCCACCCAGCACCCCGGGGGGGGGGAGGGGGGGCGGGAAGGAGGTGGGGGCGCTACTTCTGTCCCCGGGGGTGGGGGCCCGCGGGGGTCGGGGCGGCCGCGGGAGGGCTCACTCACTGTTGCACGAATTCATCCGCTGCATCCACGGGTAGACCGGGGTGGAGCACTTCTGCTCCTCCGCCTCGCCGAACACGCTCTTGTCCTGCGCACAGTCTGACTTCCGCGGCTCAGGGTGGAACCGGGGCGGCTCTTCGGCGCCCGAGAGCGCGCAGGCCGACTCCTTCTCGCGGTAGAAGGCCGGCGCCGGCCCGTAGTCGCAGGGCGCCGCTCGGCCGTAGCCGCCGCCAGCGGGCGGGTAATAGGAGGAAGCGGCAAAGCCCTTGTCCTGGCCGGGCCCGGGCCCGTAGGGCGCGGGGTAGTGCCTCAGCGGGTCCGCATAGCCCGACGAGTAGAGCGGTAGCTGGCCCAGGAAGGACTCCTGCCCGCTGGCCAGAGTGACGGGGAAGGTGGAGTTCACGAAATAGGAACTCATTGGGAGGGGAGGCGCGCTCGGCCGCTGCTGCTCCGCCGGGTTTATGATTTGTTGTGTTTTATAGTCCGAGCGCCGCGCCTATTAGTAGTATATCTGAGATTGGGTTTTAGCTGAGGGGGGATGGCGAGGTGCCAGTGAGGGCCAGAAGGAAATACAACCATCTGATCCAACACTGACCAATGGCAGAGGCAGGAATTGTCAAATAGCACCCAGGAGGAGCGCAGCCCGCGCGAGGGACCCGCGCACAAACCTATCAACCTTTTTTTTTTCCCTCCTTCTTCTCCTTCTCCTCTCGCTCTCTCTCTCTCTCTCTCTCTCTCTCTCTCCCCGACAACACAACGCGTCCTGTTCCACCTACGTAGGATCTGCGAAAGAGGCGTCTGTGCCTTGGAGGGAGGAGGGAGCATTTGGATTGAGACCACCCCATCCCCCAGTGATTAAATAAATATATCCCTCCCCTCCCCACGCAGGATAGGAAAAAGTTAATTGTGTTTTCAGAAAAGTTAACCCCTGCGTGGCTTGAGCCCCGTTCCCTCAAGGGAAGGGTGGGTAAATGTCCCCCCGAATGAATCTCCGCGTGGTGAGGAGAGAACTAAAAGAAAAGGTTTGTTTCCAGGGTTTTGTGTAGGTAGAAAAAGAGAAGAGTTCACTGTTTAGCATCGCTTTCAGAAAGAGAGGCGAAGAAGAGGAAGCACTCTCCTTCCCAGGTGAAAACTGCTTTTCCTGCTTCTCAGGTCTACTCTGTCTCCTCCAAGCCTGGGTTTATTATTCTCGCTTCTTCACAATTCTTATGGTCTGAAGGGCAGGCCAGAGCCCAGAGGACCCAGAAGTCTGGGAAATAGGAGGGTCTGAGCCCAAGGTTCTCCCTCCGGCTCTGTGGCTAGGTTAAGCTAAGCGAGGCTAGGAGCTTCTTGGAAGGCTACAGCGGCTGCCCAAGACGTCCTGCCTGGTTCCAGCATCTGCTGCTTGCTCTTGGAATGGGAAGGGGCACTGGGGAAAGGGAATAGCCTTCTCTTCACTTGTGGGATAGGGAGAGGAAGAGGAAGGGACATCCCCCAGCCTAGGTTCCCCTGATCCCTACCCTGCCTGCAACCCTCACTCCACCCCCACCCCCTACCCCCCAAATCATTAGAATATCCTGGGCTACAGATTCTTAAGAATCAAAGATATCTCAGTACGTCTGGGTACAGGGAAGAAATTGTTCCCCCTCCAATTCTGGGTCCTCAAAACTGCCTAATATTTGAGGCAATCAGAGACAGCCGGGAAGAGAGGGGACCTTGCTCCTTTTCCAGGTCTCTCCAGAAGCTGGCAGGTCTCTTTAAAATGAATTTTTTCCCAAGACTCGGTTTGGGCTTCGTTTTATAAGGAGGGAGAGGTGTTCAGGTCCTCCTGGGGACTCAGCAGGCAGCTTATAACTATCAGCCCGAATCTCGTCTCCAGAGGCTCACCACCCTTCTGTCAGACTCTCAGTGTCTCTCCAGTCCCTCCCACGTCTCATATTTGTATCACCAGCTTTGCTGCTGCACAGGCTTGAGTGTGAGAAAGAGTGCTCATCTCTGTTCCTCTCTCTCTCTCTCTCTCTCTCCCTCTCTCTCTCTCTCATCTAAGGAAAATGAGCCTTGAAGCCAGGCTGGAAGACTGAATCACAATATGTTTTCAACATTCTAACTATGCCCATGGAAGCCAGGCACTAAAGGTCGATAATGTTCAGACCTGAGTTCAGGAATGAGTCAGGATGTGTGACAAAATCTGATGATGAAGGGGCCAGCTGACTGTCTGCTATCTCATACTTTGGGTTCCTTTTGTGGGCCAGGTTTGCCCACTAAAGATGACACAAGATACTAGGGAAAGTGGTTGGGATACTAGGGAAAGGGCTGAGCTTGGTGACCAAAAGTGGGAAATTGGTTGGTTGCACAGTGGCCTACAAGGATCCCGGAACTCGGGAATGCTTCTAGGCTATACCCTCATGGCCACATATTGATCCCTGGATGTCCCACCAATCACTTCCTAGCCCAACTTGGGGGGGGGGGGGAAGGGGGTTATCAAAATTTAAGAAAATAAACTCAAGTCTTCTAATGATGAAGAATCCTAAGTGCCCCAATCTAGCTGTGATTGGGCCAACTCCTAGAGAGGAATAGGGAACATTTGGGCTGGGGGAGCAAGGTCAGGAGGGTGCCTGTATGTACCTCCCTCCTCCTTGCCACTGAGGCTAGGCCTTGGGCCATACCTGTCCTGCCTCCTCCCTGGTCACAGTGTCCCCTTCCTAGAAATGCACAATGTGGGCTTTGCTGTGGAGTCGGGACTAAGTAGGATGCTGTAAGACAGGGAGACTTCCCTGATACAGAAGCATGAAAATAATCTCCTTATCCTTAGAGCCACAGCCCCAAATTAACCTCACCTCTGCAGGTTGCCTGTCACGAGATGGAGCCCGAAGCAGGGCCTGGGCGCCTGGAGTCCGGCATGAAAAGAAATAGCGCCTCATCGCTCTTATCTAAGCCCAGAGGTATTTATGAGCGTTTATTCGTCTGATCCGTTTGTTTGGGAGAAAGAGCAGACAGGGCCCGGCCAGAGGCCGCCTGGTCTCTGGAGCCAGATCTCTACGAATCTGTCTGTGGTTCGGTCCACTGCCGTCTGTCTGTCTCCAAGGGGGAATATGTAAATACCCAGCAGGCACAGCCGTCCGCCAGTCTGGGGTGTCTCTCCCAGCCTCATTGAGGAAGTGTGTATATAGAGAGATGGATACAAATGTGTACCGAGTCTTGAGTACGCAACAGAAGGATTGTACAGAAACCCCACAGGCAGAATTTATAATTGTAATATTCTATGCTGTAGATCCGAGCTCCTCTGGATGCGCACGCATTTTCATTTCCCAGGGAAATGTCCGAGTTGTGCTCAGCAACTGAGTAAAATTCTCCTGCACCGGTAACCTCAGGGAGGGGTTTTTGCCTGTATGTGTACGGAGGAGAGGAGGATTGAGACACTGTCCAAGTTTCCCATTTCCTCACAGCTACAAAGCTCCCCCCACCTCCGGCTCATTGGGTTGTGGACATCTTCCCCCAGCCCACTCCCAATTCTGGCTGGGATGGAGCGAATGAAAATAACTCGACTCAATTCTTCCCCTAGACTCTGTGATTCTTTGAATTTGGGAAACATAAATGTTCCCAGAGGGAGTTCCCAACCTAGGGGAGCTGTTTACTAGGGATATTGCCTTAAAATTAGCCCGCCCAAAGCGCCGGTACAAAGACCTCATTTCCATTATGCAAATGAACGGCACCGTCTCTGATCTTGGGGGGTGGGATGGGCGGTGACGCTCAGCTCACTCTCCCGGTTCCGGGCACCCAGGTCCATGGGCACCCCAGGAGCCCCAAAGTGTTTCAACCCCCTGTACCAGCCACCTCCCCTCCCTACCTGTCCTTCGGATTGCCCACAAGAAAGAGGGGCCCCGAGACTTTCCGGGGCAGGCTCCCTCGGGGCCTCCGCACTGGGCCGGGCCTTCTGGCCTCGGAAAGTCACTCTTTCTGCCCAAATGCTGAAAGGGCAGCTCTCCTGTGGTCCAGACTCTGGAGGCGCCACAGCCGCTGGGTTTGCCCCCCAGCACCGCCGGCCCCCCTCCACCTCGGCAGTTCCGGGCCCAGACCCTAGTAACACCTCGGCCTGCCTGGCACCGCAGGCAATTTCCTGGAGCCCCCGCCCAGGAACTGGGGCCACAGCACCTTGAAAGGAGCGGCCAGAGCTTCCTCCTGCGGCTTGAAAGCCCGAGCTAATCAGTAACCCGTGAGACAGGGGCCAATATTCAAACTCGGCAGCGGAGGCCCCGTACCCCTGCCCTCGCCACCCCCTTCTGGGAGAGCAGTCGGGTTAAGCGGCTGTGAGGGGTCCTGCAAGAACGGAAATCACAATGGTCTGGTTCCTTAATGATTGATCCCTGCTCCCACGCCCAATTTTTACCCAAAGCATATTTGTGTCGATTTTGCTTGAAACGGTCGAGAATGGGGGAGGGGACCCACACTCACTTGCAGACACCAACAGTTTCCAGAAAATTCGGCTCAATTCCTCCACCACGGACTCACCGGCCAACCCGGAGAACACAGACCCGGTCTGTCTTTAGACAGCCGAGTGGAACTGCGGGACCGGCGCCTCCCCTGCTGGCCCCCTCCTTTGGCCGAGAAGAAAACCAAATAAACCTTGAACAGCCTTGGCCTCCCATCTCCCGAGCGGCCCGGATGATCCCCTCTGTAGCCTTGGAGGGGTAGGAGGGTGAGGGCTCTCGACTCTGATCCCCCAACCCTTTGGTTCAGGGCCCCCTGCCCGCGGGATGCAGTATTAGTCCTTTTTAAAGATGTCCTAGAAAAAGCCGCTTTCCCAGCCAGCCGCTGGGTTTGGAGCTGGAATGGGGCGGGCCAGGAGGAAGGGATACTTGTTTTCTAATCCACACGCGGAATGGCGGGTACCAAGATCCAGCGGAAAGCGACAATCTGGGCCCGAAGTCCCCGCAACCCGCCGAACCTGAGCAGCAGGGGCTCCGGGCGTCGCGCACGGTTCAGGCAGTGAGTGTCGCCCGGCTTGCGGCGCCGAAGCCGCATGTCTCCGAACGGACGGTAGATGGCAGCAAACCGCATAATTTGGGTCAGAGCAAACTGTCTAAGGGATGATTTATAACCACACCAAGACTACAGGAGAAAAAGACCTTCAGTCTGGATGGGTTTGGGGAATTTTTCCTTTGAGAATAGGCCCCGAGTACCGTGGGTGCTGGCCGAGAACTTCTCTCGCTGTGCAGCCGAGGGTCCCCGCAGGTACCCAGTCCGGGGCCTGCTTCCAGGCATCTACCTGTGCCTCCAGGGACCCCCTTCCCGCGCCACAAGTGGCCTGCATCCCTCTCTTCCCAGCTCAGGATCCAGAATGCCAATATCCCCCTACCGACCCCCATCCCCCGCGATCCCTGGGCCACCAGAGGCCCCAGGCCGAACGCTCTGCATTTGGTCTTTAAAAAGAGGAAAGCAATCACCTATTCGTGCAAACCAAACTAAATCATAGTCTCTCCTGCCCTCCACGCCCCAAACCGCTTATCTCTCTCCGCTGGCAGCTTCCCCGGAAGCCTCCCACTCACTCTGTTTTTAGGTTCTCACCAGCTTTCCCCTTCTTCCACCCCACCAGCTACTTTAGGAATTTCGGTCTCCCTCCCAACGATCCTTCTCCCCCCTCCTCCCCACCCCCAGGAGGCCTGGCTGGAGAATGAAATCAGGCGCCGGAGGGACAGGACTAGCTGTCTGAGCTCAGCGCCAGGCAGCTCTCCAGTCCGGACACCATCAGGTTCCCTAACTGGGCTTTCTTTTTGATTTTCCTCTGCTGCTGCTGCTGCTTCTCTCTCTGTCCCTCCCTGTTTTGTTTTTGTTTTTGTGTACAAGCCTCAAACACAACAACACACTCCACAGCTTCTTCACAATCACCACGGTTGGATCCGGGGAAAGTTTGAGGTGCTCCCACCTGAGACACACACATGGCAATTTCCTCCACCGAAATCCACACACCCATAAAACACAAGTAATAGAATCAATATTGCACAGACACCAACACGCTGTGACCTACCGCGTTAAAAACCACAAAACTGTCTCCCTGCAGAGCGACGCTCCCTCCTGCGGGAGTGGCGACAGACCTGGGCATTCTCAGGCTGGCTTCCTGGGGGGAGGGGGTCTCCCTCGATGTTGGTGCCTCCACCCACAGCCCTTGAATTTCAAAAATGTCTCCGTAAGGGAGATAATGAGCATTTCTCTGTGAATTGTTCTTTCTGTGTCCCTCTAGCCGCCGCCTCCTCGCCCTCGCGGGCCTCTGCGGACATTCCAGGCCCTCCAGAGACCAGAACGTCCCTCGGCACCACCTCCCCTTGTGCCAGTGCCGCCGGGAAACCGCCGATACCCATGCCGGGCAAGAGAACTGCGCGGGGGGCAACTGGGGGAGGCCGGAACAAGGGGGGGGGGTGGGAGGGGGAGGGGGCGCGCACCCACAGAGGCCATAGCGACAGGCTTCTAGGGCGCCCTGGAGCCCAGACGCCCCCATCGTCTCCTTTGCAGCCCCCTCGCTTGAGCC